TTCAGCAAAGGCAGAAATGGCTTAGGGAATGTGAGCTGAGAGATGAACAAGCAACAATTGAAACTGAGGAATGAAAGGACTGCCAAACACTTGTCTGACCAGCTTTTTAAATCAAAAGAGCAATTTGGTACCTACAGATACGCATCACTAAAGTTATTACATTACATTGAAATCTGCTGCTGTTGTAAAAGTGAGAAAAGTCTCCCTCCCCCATCTCTCTCACCCACTCATCACTGTCCCATTATCATCTCTGTAGCTCAAGTGCATACCATAAAGTAAAGTTGATCCTGTTTGTCTTATAAGACTGGTCAGGCAATTTTATTAGTTGCTTCTCTGGCGTTCCTAGCTGTGGGCTGATGCTGATGCACAAGAGCAAGTAGACCTGGAAAACCCTAATGGTTCCTGAAGAATCTTTCTCCATGATGCATCCCAAAAATCCTTTCACCAAACGTAGGCTCAGGCAGCCATACATAGCCTTTTAGACTAATGGCCTGGCATTCTGCAGTTAATTCACATTTCACAGATAAAAAAATGAAAGATGCTTGTATGTACACATTATATCATATGCTATTTTTTATTTTATTCATTGTACCTATTTTAATATACCTGCTGCCACGTCTTTCACCCAACACCAGTAGTTGCAGTTTCAGACTACATACTGCAGGATACCAAAAAGGGGTGGGCAAAAGTAGTCCCCAGTGGCTGGGGGTACAGCAAGCCAACACTGCTAGCTGTGCATTCTCCAACCCTGCTGTCCTCTGCAGGAGGGAGACCCACTGGGAAGAGTTGAGGGATACTTGAGTCTGTCAGTGTTTGAACTGTGACTTCTCATCAACCTCAGGTCTGAAGTGATATGAGCACAGTAGCCACAGCTCCATGTTACTGCTCTCCACATTGCTGGTCGAGTGGCCCTGGGGGGATGGAGCTGGCAGTGTCTCATCACACAACCAGGGCTGTGATACTGTAAAGATCAAAGGAGATGATCACTTAAGAGTCAGGTTTGAACATCTGTTCTGACTGAGAATCTCATGGTAAGATTCCCATATCTTTCCTTATTCACAGATATACAGTCCTACCTTTCTTAAATGCAGATGTTTAATAAAACTCAGATAAAAGAAAAAACTTGTTTCACTTGATATTTTTTAAGGCAAAGAGCAGATCAATAGTTTGCAAGTAATGCTGCTCATTTGTACAATTTTGTTTGTAATTATGGTAATGTTAGGGGCACTGGGGCACCTTACAGAAGCCTTAAAAGAAAGCTAATCCAAGCAGATAGCTCTGTGTCTGTGTTTTGTGGGTCTACATGTTTGTATGTGAGAGTGTATGTGCGAGTCCAGTGGTAAAGCATGTAGATTGAGCATGGAAATATATTGAGGAGGGCCCACACCTCTTGAAAATATGCTTGTTGCTTTACAATGTATGTAAACTGTTCTTCAGCATAAATGCATTCATACTTTAATAAAAAAAAAAAGTTTTGAGTTAAACCTTGTTAGTTTTAAGCTGTCTTTCCAATGCAAACTCTGTGGTTTTATGTGCATGGGTTCTGTGTTCGTTTTGTTTAGTGGAATTAAAATGTTAATTTATTTCCATTTAGTTTTTGCAACAGTCTTCATGAGAATTGCCATTAATATTTTAAAATTATTTTCTTTTAAACATTTAGGTTAATTATTGCTGCAAGTTTTGGGTTTTTTTCTGGGGGTTAGGGGGTTTTTTTTGTAATTTGCTGAGTGTGGACATGATTTATAATTTTTGCTTGGCAGGTGTATCTGCTGAGATACACACACCCCTAACCAGCTGAAATGAGCTCTGCTGAGCCAGAGCAGTATTGTCTTGCCTACAGGAATCACAGAATGGCTCAGATGTGGCATTTGATGGTGAGTGCAGAACAAACCACCAGGCTGGCAACTTCCATAACTGTTTCTCTCTGAATCTTTGGATGATCCAGTGTTCCCAAATATGGCACTATAAACTGATTTTTTTTCTCTTCCCACAATGTTTATTTGTAAGTGGAGGGTCATGTATGGGCTATATGCTGGTCAAAAATAAAAATGAAAATCTGAGTCCTGCCATGTAACTGTCTTTTTGACCAAAGGCAGAATTAGGCAAAACTTCCTTCAACTTTTGACAAAATATTTTCTTTTGCTCAGAGGTGTAGTCAAGTGTTAGTTTCTGTACTTGTTTGGATGCTCTGCCACCAAAGCTGCTGTGAACTGGCACGTGGAATCCCTCATTCCATCGTCTCAGCCAGATGTCCCTGCTGTCAGCCCAGAGTCTGAGAGTCCCAGCTCTTAACCAAGGGCTGCTTGAGCATGGGAGAGGAAAAGGAGGATCCTAGCCCTTCTCAGACAGGAGATGAGATGCCTCCTGCCAGCCCTACAGAGAACTACAGAGGATGAGTTGGGTTTGGGCTTTCCATTTCTGGAGCAAATACTTAGGAGAATGGGGTGTGTTCCTGTCGTGGGTGTGATCCTTCTGACTGACACAGCCTGCTCCCCATGCAGCCCAAACCAGAGCACAGCTGGACAGAAGGTTGTCAGCAGTAGTGTGGCCAGCAGGACCAGGGCAGTGATTGCTCCTCTGTACTTGGCACTGGTGAGGCCACACCTCGAATCCTGTGTTCAGTTCTGTGCCTCTCATTGCAAGAAAGATATTGAGGTGCTGGAGTGTGTCCAGGGAAGGGCAGTAGAGCTGGTGAAGAGTCTGGAGCACAGGTTTGATGAGGAGCAGCTGAAGGAGACTCAGGAGGGACCTTATCACTCTTTACAGCTACCTGAAAGGAATCTGTAGCAAGGCAGGGTCAGGCTCTTCTCCCAAGTAACTAGCAACAGGACAAGAGGAAATGACCTCAAGTTGTGCCAGGGGAGGTTTAGATTGGATATTAATGAAAATTTCTTCACAGAGAGGGTTGTCAAACTCTGGAAGAGGCTGCCCAGGGCAGTGGCAGAGTCACCATCCCTGGTGGTATTTGAAAGATTTGTAGATGTGGCACTTGGGGACATGGGTTAGTGGTGGGCTTGGCAGTGCTGGGTTAATATTAGGCTCGATAATCTCAAAGGCCTTTCCAACCTGAACAGTTCTATTGGGATCTGCTGAAAATAGCCTGTCTCTCTAAGTCACCTGCCAGTGTGGGTTAAGCAAAGAATACCTTTGTTGGGGGTTTTATGGTTGTATTTTAATTTTTTTTATATATACAGGACAGTCTACATTTCTGTTTTACAGATGTACTGATTTACAATGAGTTGGGGAGTTCTCGTAAAGATATTTGATATTGTGGCATCTGCAATAATTCCTCAGCAATTGGAGGCTGTGGATTACATGAGAATTCTGAATGATAAAAGTAAAATATGAAGGAGAAAATTCTAGTCCTTTTGATTAGAAAATCAGACCCTTTGAAACATGAACCAACTATTTTCTAAGGGTTCAAACATGCAGCTTGTCTTAGAAAACATGAGATTTGAAAAATAATCAGTATCATGAGTTTGGATCCTTAGATAATTTGGAATTCAGGCCAAATCTCTCTGTATTATCAATACCAAATGTGTGATGCCATTTGCAAGGAGAAAAGCTTTCAGTCCTGAATTGCATAGCAGTTATCACTGATTATCTGTTGCCAGTAGATACTGGAATGAAACATCAAGTTAAACTTTTCCTTCAATTAATCTGTTGGAAAAGAAAAATCATAATGTTTCCATCAGAGTTCACTTCCAGTTGGCTAAAGCCTTTCCTGTTCAACTACAAAGAGCCCAGTCTTGGATCTCACTGCGTCCCTCTGTGGGTTGATGAGTTCCTTTCGTGTCAGCCAGGAAAACATGTAAGGGATTTCTTTCCCTCTTCTTCTCGTAGGGGAGAGTGGAAAAGGGTTGAATATCTAAATGTGTTATTAGAAGTGTGGAAAAAGTAGAGAGCATTTAGGTCATTATACCTCAACATCACTATATAATATCACTGGGGTTTGTAAGGGTGACTTTCATAAGTTTTCTAACTACTTAAAGAAAGAGAAAGTGTTGCTTTATAAAGAGTACTTTTGTTCAGTTTTCAATCTCTGAAGTCTAAATATCTTCTGTTCCTACCAAATCTGCTGTGGAGCTGTGAATGAATGATGGTTGCTCAGTTGAAGTTGTGCGACGGGGCGAGTTACACTCCGCACTAGTGAGCACAGATTGCATGAGAATTGCTTAGATGTGCATGGGGTTTTTAGCCCGTGGGAATGGAGAAAGGCAGAGAGTCATTTCTTTCATATTTTAAACTCAAAGGCTCCTAAGAACCGCAGAATACTTTGTTTTGTGAAAAAAAAAA